AAAAAAAAAAAAAAAAAAAAGAAATAGAGGGTTGATGAACGAAAATCAAGATTAAAGATCTGTTGATGAAACACTGATAATAAGGTATGACTTTTTTATTTCACTATTTTTTTATTCCCTTTGATCGATTGTCAGATGCTGATAAGGAACTGTCACCTGCTTTCGTGGATTGTTTCGGAATTGAAATTAACCCTTGCTCGGGGTTTTGGGATACCGATTTCGCTGGGGAATCGACGATTTTTTTTTTCGGTCGTTCGGTTGAGCGCCGGCAATTTTATCAACCCCTGTGAGTTTTGAACGGGGTGCGGTGTGACTAAAATGTCGCAGTACAGTAGGTCGCTGGCAGTGGGGGTTGAAAAAGGACGGGGAAAAAAAAGAGTAAAGGAGGAAACAAGTTTGGTCGTACGGTGGAAACGCGCGTTGAGGATCGGGTAAGGCTCCGCGACGGACCCGAGGGTCGCACTATCAGGACGGCACGCGAGTTTCGATTTATTTCCGTGGAAAGAAACACTCCCGGGCTCCGCGCTATTTTAAGTGAAACGCCCGGGTCCCTGACTGACAACTTTTTTTTTCGTTCATTTTTTTTTACTCCGTCACTTTTCTATCCTGGCGACCTTCGGGCGTTTCCGTTTTCCAGAGTTACTGAAATTTCGGTTTAACCAAATCGTATGGTTAATTGGCAGCCACCTTGACACTCTATATGGACACTGTCGATTATTAATCGTCCGATTGGGTCCATTGGGACTTGTTCTGAGCCCTAAATATCTTTATTCCCATTTTAAGTGAAACGCCCGGGTCCCTCACTGAAAACTTTTTTTTTTATTTATTTTTTTTTTACTCCGTCACTTTCCACCCCTGGCGACCTTCGGGCGTTTCCGTTTTCCAGAGTTACTGAAATTTCGGTTTAACCAAATCGTATGGTTAATTGGCAGCCACCTTGACACTCTATATGGACACTGTCGATTATTAATCGTCCGATTGGGTCCATTGGGACTTGTTCTGAGCCCTAAATATATTTATTCCCATTTTAAGTGAAACGCCCGGGTCCCTGACTGAAAACTTTTTTTTTTATTTATTTTTTTTTACTCCGTCACTTTCCACCCCTGGCGACCTTCGGGCGTTTCCGTTTTCCAGAGTTACTGAAATTTCGGTTTAACCAAATCGTATGGTTAATTGGCAGCCACCTTGACACTCTATATGGACACTGTCAATTATTAATCGTCCGATTGGGTCCATTGGGACTTGTTCTGGGCCCTAAATATCTTTATTTCCATTTTAAGGAAAAAGCCACGTTCCATATTCATCATTTTGAACGGTTGGTTGATCCACGTCATGAATCATCAGGGGGATCGTTATGGTACCCATCATCCACCTTATGGGGTTGGACGACGCGTGCTGTTACGGGAATGTATGGGGTGATAGGTTTGTATATATATATGTATATATTTTCTAGCAGTCATAGGGGAATTGACTGATTTCAATTTTTCTACTTAACGCGATATATACAATTTGATATTTGCATTTTTAGCCCCAGGACATGATTTATGCTTGGGGGTTGCTTCTTGTTAAGGTACTCGTATTCGGACAACTGTCGATACTCGTGTCGAGTATCTAATTAGCATTGGACTGGTTTGCGGGAAGATTTGATGAAACTATGGAAAATTAGGAAAAAATTTTTGTATTTTTTTTTTTTTAACGGTTTCATCTCCAGTCTTTACTTTCTGAGAAAGCCGCTGTCCGTATCGTTGGCCCTTTTTAATAATTCAGCATGCTGCCGGGTACGTTAATATTCATCTTTACTTCCGGCAAAAGGTGCCGGGAATCTTTTTCACAAAGGGACTAAAATATCGCGTTGTCATTGATGACAACGTCGTGCACCAACTTAAAATGTCATAAATATTGCGCCCGCGCGCGTTTACAATTTATACGGTGATGTATATATGTATACGTTTATTCAGATATAGATATACCGTACAGCTTTTACCCACTTCGCTCCCCGCGTGGCTCGCGACATTCTAAATTTGCATATTTTTAAAGCCGCCAGTCGCAAAGGACCAGACAGTCACAAAGGCGCCGCCTTTTGCTCCCATCCTCGTCTCTGTGTATACACCTGGAATCCCGTGACTGCAATTCTAATTCCTGAACGAGATTCAACGCGGAATCTTTAATCGTGTTAAAACGATCGGCAGAATCTACGAGTCTCTTGAGAATTTTCAGAAGAAACGTGGAATTCATTTTCTTTTTTTTTTTGAATTAAATTCTTATCAGTTTTTGAAAAAATTTTTTTTTTTACTTCGTATCGACGTATAATTTTTGCGTATGGTACTGTGAAGTATATAGTATATGCATATAAGAATTCAGGCTAGGTTCACGGAGTGAAGTTCTTCAAAAGGCTTTGATTAAAAGTTGAAGTTACTTAACGTCCCCATTACGTGAAATAAGTTAGGCATTAAGTTCTTTAATTAATACGTGAATTGAGGGCGTTCAAAAGAAGAAGGTGAATCAGATGTTAGCAAAATGTTGAGAAGAAAAGAGAGGAGTGTAGAAATTAACACGTCAAGGTAGAGCGTCCGTTTTATTAAACGTCAAAGAAGTAATTTTAACGTAAATTAAAAGAAAAAAAAGTTTACTAACGAATTTCTTCTGAACGAATATTTCAAAAAAAATTTAATCAGCGTTTTCAAAAATATTTCGTGCCTCTGTCTAATCACTTACGTTTTTATTTTTTCTATTTTAATCTATTACGAGCCACACTTGACCGTGTAACACGGTATTTGTACATTTTGCAAAAATTGAAATATTTCATATAAAAAACTTAGGCAAATGACAGAAAACGCTTAAATGATTATTGAAAATGGTTTTTTGTACTTGGAATTTGCAAGGAATTAGGATTGTAGTATTTCGAGATAGTTGAAAATTGGAAAATACGTTGACGCAATGGACACTTAGGAATATAGAATGATTCATAATTATATGAAATAAATATACGAAATTTCCAATTTCGCAATCACGAGTAATGAGTATACATATATATATATACAATGCATGTACATATATGTCATACAGGGTCAGACGGTCGTCGATGACTATGCATATATTAATGTTAGGATGCTTCCAGCATATTGGAAAATGTTAATGAAAAGGAGGAAAGTCATTTCTTCCTAAAACGGCCTCAGGCAATTTTTTGGGATTCACGAAAAATGAGAAAATCCCAAAAACGAAACAACACGTTAACGACGGTACGTCACCATTGACGTATCGACAAACGTTAAAGACCGATAGTGTGGTGGGGATAGGACTGTATAAAAGAGTAGAAAATTTTTCAAAAAAACATCAGTCCCACGACAACAATCTACCTGAAATCAATACAGTTCTCCGATAGAGTGAAAATCAAGATGTTCAAGTATTTGATTTTCTTCGCCCTGCTGGCATTTGCCGTTGGCATGCCTGAAGGTAATTAATTTTATTTTGTTAATTCTTTCATAACAAAAAACTATTTTTTATCGTCCCAGACGAAAATGAATTTTTTTTTGGTTGCCGACCACCACCAAAAATATCTTTCAAGTTAGTCTAATCAAACTTGAACCTGCTATTCGACGATTAAAATTACAATATTAAATTTTGGATTATCGATTTCGTAAAAAATAGTAGAGTAATTTCAATACCCAATTTCTATTATTTTTTTTTATAGCCATGCGTAATCGTCGTTCACCATGGGGTAATTACGGTTACGGAGGTGGAAATTCTGGCTCCAACGCCGCAGCCAACAGCTTCTCCAGTGGATTCGGCGGTGGCTACCCTGGAGGTTACGGAGGATTCGGAGGTGGCTTCAGTGGCGCCAGCGCCCAGGCTAATTCCTTCGGCCAAGGTTTCGGAGGCTATGGAAAATAGCATCACCCCCAGAAAACCCTGATCAACAATCCCGACAGAAACGAATAGAAAAAATCGCTAAAAGCACTGAACGAATAATAAAATAAAAAAGAGCTGCCACATAAATCTGTGATTAAAACCAAAATTTATTCACACCTTCGCCCTGTACAATATCAATTATCGAATATACGGAGGATGTCTCACAAAAATGTGACTGTCAAGAGATATCGAGTGGGTCGTAACAGTGTAAAAAGAAACGAAAAAAAAGAGGGTGACTATCCCTTCTAACACCTGTATCATCCATGCGAGGCCCCGGACCATGGATCGACCAAAGAATCCCTCGAAAGGTCTTTAAAAAATTAATACTATTATAAATCATCGGCGATAAGGGATCAGGACCCTAATGTGAGGACATCACCACTACCAGGTCGTTTTGGTGAAGCTGGTCTCACTGGTGTCACCCTAACCTTCGTGAGTACCTATACCACCACCTTCAGCCAGCTTGTCTCAGGGTTCATCCCCACCAGAAGAATCAGTGGACCGTACCCCCGAAGTGCACCCTGAACTCCACCAGAGTCCTACGTCCGGGGCTATCCTGCCTGAAGATCAGATAAAAACACGAGAGGCTCCGTTTGGTTTGTCACCGGTGGGTTGCTGGTGCTGATGGTCGTAGGTAGCGAAGGATAAAGATAGTGCAAAGAAATGTGAAAGAGAGAGCCGGAGGAGAGGAGAGCCAGGCTGGAGGGGGGAGACAGGATTTATAGGACTTGTCTGGGAGGGAATCAAGGCTCGGTGTTTCTCTCCTTCCACATCCCGCAGCATCCTGACTCTCGTGGAACCCAATTAATTTGGACGACAGTCCCAAAAGATTCCGCCTTTGGCTTCGCCACGGACCCTGGGCGCCTACGGCCTAACCTAACCTCACTTCGCGTTTCTTCCCAACACAAATTGGAGGATCTTACCGGAGACGCCTGATACAGGTTGCCTCTCGATCAATCTGGTCCTTGGTCCAGAATACTCTTCGGACCTCTTAAAATTTAAGGATTTCATATGTTGCAAATATTATTATTATTTTTTTTTTGAAATTCGCTGTAATTCTCAGCGATAATTTTTACGAGAGAAATCATTTTTCTGTTTTGCATTTCTAATTTATTTTATCGCTCGCTGCATTTTTTTATCTTTTCTTTTTTATTCTGTGTACGCTGGAATATCGATTGATTTTCGAAATTTTGTACGAGTTATCCTCGCGACGTTTCGTCCCTTTGAAATATAATACCCTATTCGTCTTCTTACGTTTCCACTTTTTTTTTATCTTCTGTCTCCCTCTCTCTCCCTCTCTCAATCTTTTAGACCCTCTTGGAAATTCTCGAAGCAAAGTACAAAATCTCCGCACGATCCTCCCACGAAAATTGGTACGATCTCCTAAAGCGATATACCGCATGCAGTGGTACCCCAGCTGAGAAGCACCAATCAAATTTGACAGCTGTCAAACTACGCCTTTGTCATCTAGAATACAGTTGGTGGGTTTGGGCCGAAGGAATTTTTATAAAAATATTTATACTGTCATTAATGTTATAATCAATTGACATATATCTCATATTTCGATGCCTCTACTAAAACAACAGTGGCAAATGTCATCCCGGTTTCGAGCGTCTGGAAAATCATTAAAAATAAGTCAAATCCTTTTCCCCCTTATGACGCAACGTTAAACCAATTTTTTTTTTCAACCAGCTGGAACAGACGTACAACTATCGTAGATACCAATTCAGCCTTTAAGAGCGTACCAGTTGAATTTATTTATCCTTTGTGTTGCCATCTTGATTATAACGTACAGTCATACCCAATTAACGTTAAGTCACGCAGCTGGCTCTTTGCACCTAAGTCATACACATCAGCCAACTGCCAACTGTGTAATACAAAGTAGGTGAGTAGGTACGGGATAGCTTTAATTGGTAGCTTTGAAACTCTGACGAAAGTCGAATTTCCTATTAGACCCAAAAGTACAAAGGGATGTTAATAATGCGAAAAGGACGAAATTACGTAAACCTCCTCGTACTCGTAAGCCTCCCTCTCACTCAATCCTAATTTACCATGAACTTGACGACGTGCGATGTACATGCCTTCTTTGCATGCGGTACGAAGGAAAAACCCTTTTCCAACACCCGACCCAATTTCGGCAGTTATAATAAAATTGGGGACCACCCTACCTAAATTTAATCAAATTTACCGAAATTTACTCGAAATAAAAATGTCAACTTGTCAGCCCACCACCTGTTACCGTAACTACGTATAAACGAATGCCATGGGGATATTCTACCCCATGCTCAATAATGTAAAATTTCAAGCTACCACCTAGAAAGCATAACCAGTCAGCAGTTACATACTGGGTGGGTTTATGTGATTTCGAGTCGGTGGCGGATCTTTAGAAAATTTAACCCTTTTGTATCACCCTCGTAAATAAATCGAAAATTTCTCGCCCGCGTGGTAGTCACGTTTTATGATGTACAAGATATATATATGTATATTCTTAGCAAGTAAATTATAAATTATATATATATGTATATATAACATTTATAATTTACTTGCTAAGAATTTCGGAATCCCGAGTGTAATTCTTATTTATAGAGCACCGATACCAGATTCGTCGGTCGATAACAGCGCAAGCCGCCTGACGATCTTAGGGACGGTTGATATTTTGAAAAAAATTTGAATTTCAAATTGACCCTCAACCGAAAAGCTATTCGATTCCGTAGTAACAATGCGATGGGAAAGTTTTCGTAATAAAATATATTTTTCGTCCAAATGATTATATATCGCGAATAAGCCGTGACCTTTTTTTTCGGTTCCGAAAAATTTTTCTTGTTTACGAAAAAAAAAAAAAAAATTGAGGTTGGATCGTTTGCTCCAATTTTCGCGCGTCCAATTGGATTGTCAACTGTTATTTGTTTATTTCCTTTTTTTTTCGCCACCCTTCGTTCTTTTAACGCCACCGTCGTCGACCTTTATTACGGTTTGCCAGTCTCGTCGTCGGGACGCGGCTTTCCTGTCTCACCGTATATAATAAAAACTCGTGGAATATCGTTAGGAGACGATACTGCCCTATTATACCTCCTTAGAATCGTTTAGTGGCTTCCGAGTCAAACGTCCGTAATGGATTGTAACAATAAGTCACGTCTCTTTAACGAGCAATATATATAAAAGAACAATAATGCGATAGCCCCGACGATAAAACCAATTGCAGAGTCGAAAAGGGTAAGGTATAAAGGACATTACGTAATTTTATCGTGCGAGACTGTTGCCAACTTAATAAAATAAAATTTCACAATTAAATTAAAATCCAGTTCCAGCTGCTTGTCGATCTTAAATATTTTCATGGATAAATAAAATTCAATTGGTCGTCAACATTAAAAATACCAATTCCCTGTCGAACCAATTTTTCCCAACCAATTCAATATCCAGTTGGCTAAATACGTACATTCAATCGCATTTCCACAATACATCCTACCCGCGGATATACTGCCGATACTTTTATTATCCAGTTGGCTAAATATATTAGGTAGCTCAACGTAATAAGCACGTCTGTAATAGGTTCATATTCTCGGGTACGTGCAAGAAACGCAAACGAACTCACGCAAGCTAAATACGAGACGTCTCGAGTTACCAATTGTTTTTTACCAGTCGCTCGCGAGGAATCCACAAAGTAAAAAGAAGAAAAATAAAATGCGACCTGCTGCCGCCGGGGTGCGGCCTCGGATAAAAGAAATGCGTTTATATTACAATCGCAAGAATGTAATTAAAGAACGAAAAATAAAGGTTCGTTTATGAGCGCTTCGATAAGAAATTAAATATATCTTCCTTTTTCCTCCCCTTTTAATACACGGTGGTCACATTGTCCCGCAATAAATCCAATAGGCTCATCGATATCGTATACACACGTAAAACCGACTGTACTACGAAAAAACAAAATATTCCCAAGTTATCCGACCTACGAATCATGAAAAAAAAATCTCATGAATCTACTAATTTACAGTTCCATCCGCTATTCCACCCGCGATAACACCTAACGACTAATCAACTCGCCAATTTGGACAAGCTTTAATTACCAAAATAAAATTTTATCATTCCAATCAAGATTTAATCTCCCGTTTCCAGAAAATACAAAAAATTCGTTTCATCCGTTTTCAAAAATTTTCTGTTTTTAAAAACAAAATTGTCAAAATTTGTTTTTTTTTTTTTTCTAATTTCACTCCAGTCAAAAAAACCGCTGAATCTTCACTATGCTCTTGTAACCATCCTGCGTTTACGAGTATCGTCCCTTGTATTATTGGGAGCTCATAAACACGAGGAACGACAAGAATGGCGCAAGCACCGGCAGATAAGTCCCAGTCCCATGATATTTATGGGGAGCAATTAAAGAGAGCGTATAAACGCAAGGACGAGGACGTGGATACGCCATAGGCGTCCACGTACGAAGATATACAAACTGTGAATACATATATACATACACACAGTACGTAAACCCACCTATCGATGCGACGATAGGAAACACTTTGGTGGCGAGAAGAAGGTTACTGGACACGGGGGTTCGGAAAATACATGGGAAAGCATGCAGATAGAAATCACCATGCCATAAATAGAAGCGGTAATTGGGGAATCGTTCGAAAGCATAAAACTTAACAGAGTCCGATACTCCCCATGCGCTCCGTTCCGTAGCTTCTTTGCAGACAACGGCTACCGTCTCGTCCCGTCTCCTTCCCCGGTCTCGTTCGCGCCCCCATGTAAACGCCACCCGTTTAATTTCCAGTAATCTCCGATCCCACTCGAAAAACGTCCCGTACATATTCCATTCCTGACCCAGGTCCGATCAGCCATTTTTCTTCGTTCCTCGGGCCCTGGCAACCCCATCGGAAAAATATTCCAACCCTATTATCGCACGTGTCCCGATGCCCATAGTCCAGACCCAGGAGCGTCCATATCCTCATTTATTTCCTTGCTGTCGCTACTTGAGAAATTCCTAACACGAAAACACAGCCAGTGCATTCTTTACCGTATGCGTCGGGAGTCCTGATACTCAATATAATGCAACTGCATACCGGCCTGAACGGTCGTACGATAAATATGACGAAATTGAAAAAAAAAGAAAAAAAAAAAGAATTACACACAGCACGTAATGCGACCATTACGAATTTTTTTCTGTCCCGACCTAATCAACGGGATAATTTTATCGTTGCAAAATCGTCAGTGCGGTCGGGTTGGTATATTTGCCGCAGGTGCAGGTGCCTTAAGTGCAGGTTATCGTTTGGCAATGGGCGTAGCGAACCTAAAGGGTTTCATGGGCAGCCAAAGGTATTTACTAAATTATTATCTAGAGCCGTCCCCAGCTTTGGCTGTGCTGATTTGCTGGGTCGGTCGGCGGGGGGAGGGAGGGGGTCGACGGCAGTCGCGTTTTGTAAACCCGCACAGTAGTGTAACCAGTAGTTATTGACCGGCGGCAGGGCCACCCCCCGCTCCTATGTTCAACGAAATCCCCCATTCCGCTGGATCAGGTATTAATATACCGTCCCTGCCTATGAACACGACCATATGGTACGACATGTGCATTCCCTGCAATCCTCGCCATGTGGCCCTATGCACTTTTTCCCCATATTCGGATTTCTGCATAAAAACACGAGACCCAGTCCGTTAGGTTGGCAATAGCTACTCGCTTAGCAAATTATGCGTAACCGAACCCCGCGGACTATTCATAACTCGCGCGCATCGATGTGGCACGCGTCATGAATGGACTGATCCCCTAATGCGAAGTTGGGTTTTGCCATGGTTAAGGTTATCAGTATTTTTTTTTTTTTTTTTTTTTTTTTTTTTTTTTTTTTTTTTTTTTTTTTTTTTTTTTTTTTTTTTTTTTTAAGGAAACACCTGTCGTATTATCAAAAATTATATTCCGGATACGATTAATCGTGTATATTGGGATTTAATCGCAGTCGTAGGGTCACTGTTGGTAATGAACTCTGAAAATTTGTGTGCGGTTATGTAAGGCGTTACGTCATAGTAGTAAATTATGTAATACGCGGATACGTATAAATGAAAAAATGCAGATAAGCCTTATCCGCGAGAGCTAGGTTGGTTGGGTTGGTGGCTTTCGGGATAATTATGGTCATATATGGAATTTAGGTGTCGGGGTACGAAAGGTAGGTTGAAATGGAAAAATATATGGTTTGCCGTGATACGTGGTTACTTGAAAAGAATGCAGATCGTTGTGCGTTAAAAAGTTGCTTTGCGTAAACGGTATGAGGCGCTTGTGAAAACGCAAGAAACAAAGGGAATAAGGAGTGAGGATATGATCGAACCGGTTGTAATAATAAAAAGCCACTCGTTTTATACCGTGACATTCTCTATTTCCCTAATTCCGAGACGGGACTCTAACATCGGCGCAAAACACGGTCGGCCGGGTCGTACGACTGGGAATATAAAGTCTCGACAGGACGAAAAGTGGACGGCGAGTGTCGCGCTAAAGAAAATGTTGAATGAGTCGGAATGCGGTGGGTTACGCTTTGCCTGGTTGACGCCCGTTGGATGGAGAAGGACGTGAGATGGGGGAGGGTTGATGGTGGGAGAGAGATGAAAATAAAAGGAGGAAGATACTCGGTTGGCTTATAAGCGACGAAATAAAATATGTCGTCGGGCTGGCTCCTTGATTTATGATGGCAGATGGTGCGGCTACCTATGGGACTTATAATAGACGGTATATTTAGTAATCCTACACCATATATGCATACGTGGGACGGGTCGCATCGCAGGTGCCACATGATCGTACGGTCCCAACAAGAGCAATCTACATTATTGTTGTTCGATCCTTATACCTTGCTGCTTGGTATTAAGGAGATTTCTCAAGAGAGTGTCAGTTTCGGGATAGCCAGAGATACCTCAGGATTTAAGATGCTGGATGATAAACGGAATGCAGCTTATTGGTGCATCTCTTATTGGGGATGTATATGTATGGGTTTCTTGGTAGGATCGAAATGATATCCTGAAAGTGTTAAGAGCAATAAAGTTATCAAAATAAATCTTGTTGCCCGTTCATTGGCTTTTACTTACTTTATTTAATGGATGATACCCCGAGATGTTCCTGGTTTCCTTCTGGAAAGTTTGTAGGATACTTTCAATTAAGAGAACCTGGAGAGCTCGAATCACTGGGAAGGAAAGAGTTTCTTGGTAAATGTTGAGGGATGTCTTGGGAAGGTTTTTTTATATGTCAAATTTATTATTATTATTGTGTTGATACTTATTGACGTTGATAAAATGCACGCGAGCGTTTTTATTGAATACGGAATTGGTTGACATGAATTTTCTGTGAAACGACAAACAAGCTCTCTTGTCGATGAATAAATTTGAAAGTTGAACTTCCGAATGGGATGATACGTATTCCAGGTAAGAACAGAAGCCAGCAGGCAATGAATGAGAGGGTCAAAAAGTGTAAGGGAGTGTTATTATATGAATGTCTGAGTGTGAAAGAGGAAGAGCGTTTAGGGTTCCTTCTGAGAAAACATTGGAAACGGCAACTGTGGAAATTCTTGCTTCTGGGAATACGTCCTGTCGGTATTTACTTACGTCCAGATAGCCAGTATTTGCTGAACGCATTTATTCAGGTGCCATTTCGATCCATTATCAGCAGATCGCTAATTGCTTGAAACGACTAGCTCGTCCAGCCACTGTGCACTCACGTTCCTTTGTCTATGACCGTCACAATTCCATTCCGTTCCGTTCCCTTTCCGTTATTGATGTTGTCTAGAAAAACATTCCGGGAAACGAAAGACCAGACAAACAGATCAGAAAGAACATAGCGGAGTACACGTCATGTACCGCTGTACCGAATAAATATTCTGATAAAAATCGACCGATACAGCAAGACTGAACGTTTGTACGATAGTTCATTTAAATTCCCACGCGTAGACCAGCGCTCTCTAGGCGCGTCGATTGGAACTACGCGAAACTGCACTGAAAAGAATATCGTGAAAGGAACTCAGTTGAAACAAGATGGCCGCCGTCCACGTGCCGCGAGAATTCGCCCATTCATAATACCGGCGTCGCGATGAATGTTTGATACGTCGATTTTTCGGCGTGGACGTTTCGTCGTCGTGCAACGTAGACGTCGTCGCGACGGCATGCGCCGCTCCTTGAATGCCGACCGTGGTAATAATTAATGGGGAAAGTGAGTGAGCCGCTTCTTGGAGGAAGCATTGTGCCAGGACTGAATTAAACATTGGCTCTCGACAGTGAAGCTGTGAGCCTCTTGGCGATGTCGTGACTAGGAACTATAGAGGTTAGGACACAGGCTGCAGAAAGGCTGGATGCTAGGTAGGTGGTAGCGACGTTAAGGGATGAGTGGTTCGAGGAGAGCTTGGTATGAGTTACAAGTCTGTTAAGGGATGGAGTTCGCTTGTTGGCAAGACTTGCCACTGTACAAACTGCTGTATTCCTGGGCATTGAATTATGTAACCTTCGAGACATATGAAGCTTGGGAGTTAATTCTGTCTGGTATTCGTTATTGTGTATATACAGAATGCACGGAAAGTAGTCTTCGGAATACCTTATACCTGTCTCTGAAGATAAACAGAAACGAAAATATGTCACGAGATAAAGGACAAAAAGTTATGTCCGAATTTATTTATGACAGCTATGCCATAGTATGGTCTTTAAAGAGATATAAGTCACAGTGCTTTATGCGTTACTGCGAATATTTTCATGTGAATGCCCGAAAGTCCAGAAGTTCTCAGGGAACCTGAATGGCATACTTTATCCATGGTAAAAGCGATCGAGGAAGGCACGCGACTGGCTATTAGTCAATCATGACGGTGAAGGCAGCGTCAGTCTGTGGTCTGCGTAAAAAAGGTCTGGGGAATCTTAAAGACCGAAAAAAGTCAGAAAAAGACAAGATAAATTCGGGACCCGCGCGGTAGATGGCGACGGGTGCCGATTACAGTAAAGTCGAGAGTGATGACCATTTGGATCAGAGAGACCGACAACGATGGTACCATGGTATCTACTTACGTACATAATACCTGTACCTATGTGCAGGCATGTCGGTTCGTCTGGTTTCCATCCAGAAATTTCTCAGTCGTTGAATTTGCTCCTCTTTTTTTTTGGCTAATCCATTTTTTCACTCCACGGTACATTGACTTTTTTTAATTCTCTTATTCGACGCTTTTGGTTTTATTCCTTTCAACTACGGTAGTGTTCTGGAGGGGACGATTCTAACTTGGTGAAAAGAATCCGCTATTTTTTTTACAAAATATTCTTGTGGCAGTAATAACGGTCCTGAGAGGTTTGATGATCAAATAGGAAATGGCGGTACGTTTTTTTTACAAACTTTCTTTGACTGGCCAACGTGGCATTTTTATTAAAGTTTTCGTTTGCCATAGATTCGTTTGGTGTTTTTTCTTTCAAGCCATTTTTCTCCCTTTCCGCAAAGCTTTTTTGCGCTCTTTCACGTCTCCCCCGTGAATGCAGTAATTTCTCTAATTACCCGCTATAGTCACAGCGACCACGGTAGGTACGATTAGCCCGTGATAAAATTCCGTGAAAACGAGTGACGAAATATATTTTTATTCACGGTACAGTTACGCCCAGTGTCTTTAAACGATGTACGCATGCTCATACAATTTTAATTACCCGACTAACACAGACTCAGTTAAAATACGATAAATTTTCTTGAATTTCCATTTTAAAAAATTACATCCCGCCCTCATTTCCATCCTCCAAAATTTTTTCGTCTAATCCTCAGACCCGACAGTCCCATAAAATCAAATTTCCCACGGTAAATTTCCGCGCGTGGCAATAACTTGCAAAGTAAAAAAAAGGAAGTAAAAAAAAACAAAATAAAAACAATTTCGCCCAATCCCACTCGACCAGCAGAATTGAAAGCGTGTAGCAAACCGATTCGTTACGCCTTCGACACGGTTGAATCGTTCACGTCGCAGGCTATTTAGTTCGATAATAAAAGATTATAATCCCAATCCTCGCAATAAAACCGTACGGACGTAGGACGTTCCGTACTTCCGTGTGAATGATCGTCCCAACGAAAATTCAACCGAAAACCGAAGCCGGTTGCAGTATTTTACGATCGGACGTAACAAGTTTCCAAACTACTCCGTTGGCGGCGCGCGCGATGCATTAGGACACAAAGGTATAAACACTTCGCTTACACTTTCCTACTCAAGGCCCAGCCACGAATGTGGGTACAACGCGACATACTTGTAGGTCCCCGTAAAACGGGGCCATATATCAGAAACGGACTACGATCCATCAGCGTGAAACGTTTATATGTTCCCCTCACCTTTTTTCCCCTTTTTTTTCCTACTCCTCTCGCTTCCACCAATGACAGTGCTATTTTTTATTGACTATCGTGGGACTTCGTTATTTTCAGAGAGGAAAGAACGAAGAGGCGGAAAGAAAAAGAAACAACAGATAATCATCCTTACCCGCCTACGCGTGCTATGCATTTTTTCTATCCTACCGGTACTACGTCTGGTAGCAATGAATGTCTATTCGTTGTTGTACTGTTTGAAGTAGCACAATGATGAAAAGTGAAGAGATGGTAAATTATATATATATATATTTTTTTAAGTAAATACTTCAACCGACAGTCATTCATCGACGTTTGTATTTTACTTGTTGTTTTTCCTCTTTTTAAGGTAGACGCGTGTTCGGTGCACGTATGGCCTGGCAATTCCGTGACTGTGCAGGGATCGACGAGTCGGATGTGATTTTCTCCCAAATTGGTAGGACGCTATAAATTAATGTCGCAGATCCTACCAAGGTATACATGGGAACACGGCACTATGCTCTTCGAAGATGCCGCCGGACTCCATTGTCTATTTAAAATAGTTTTCATTCCTGCGCGCCGCGACGACTGGTTCTCGAAAATAAAACGATCCTACAACCACGGCGCGTTCCAGTCAATAAAGTTAATCCGAACTGGCCGGTTGTTTATTGTTAATGAGGCAATTAATTTTTATGAACTCGCACCGCGCTACGCCGCTGCGATAAATTCGCGGAAATAACACGCAGGCTAATGCACCTCGTTCTCTATTTATAAAGATAAATTGATATCGAAGTGTATACGTCTGCTTATCACCCAGCCAATTATACGTACTACCGTTTGATCGTTAAAACTGTAACAAAATATCATAAATAAGAATTACGTTATTATTTTCATGATTCTGGTAATATTGGATTTTATTGAACGTCAATTATTAATTGCTTATTCGCTGGATGCATGGTGAATAAATTAATATAAAATTTTTTTTTTTTTTTTTTTTTTTTTTTTTTTTTTTTTTTTTTTTTTTTTTTTTTTTTTTTTTTTTTTTATTATACAAACTATCCCGTTTTTCGTGCTTTACCTGGAAATTAAAAAAAAATTAATTTTTTTTTTCAAAACTGACAACCTGACGAGTGATACTTTATTTCCTGTCGTTCTTTGGTGTCTTTGACATTTTTAAACAGTCTATCCACGAAATAGTCTAGACGACGAGGGCGAGCGCGGAGGGTCTGCTGAAATAATATTTGAGGAATTCGATTTCGACCAAGCTAAAGGAAAAGAAGGAAGCGGTCACCGAACAAATGGCTACAAATATGCGTACAAGTCACTTTACCCGTGTCTTTAGTTCAGCAGCTGCTTCCCCGGCCCATCATTTCCCGTTTACACTAGACCATTTTCCGTATACCTGACGTGGGTCACAAAGAAGTGGATGGAAGGTATAAAAATGGCGAAAAAAAAATTTGCATAAATCATTAACCGAAGAAAGACCCCAAAATCGATATCGATTTACCCCCTTTTTTTACCCCGTAAAATTCAATCCGTCGGTACTAAGGATTCCTAATGTCTCTCACAGTCGAGAGATTTTGGGCTTTTCGAGGCACGCGCCGTAGTCGCACCTGGGAATTCTTATGCGCGGTAGCCGCATTTTACGGCGGAGTAAATTATAATGAAAAAAAGAAGAAAATACGAAAAAAACAAAAAAAATCAAACGGTGACCATAAGTGGTTTCAATTTACCTGAAACGCGCAATGCCAACGGGTGCCACTTTGTTATCCGAGATGCATTCCAAAAGGACAGCTGCATCAAGCATGTGCCAGTTTCCATATCATCGTACGGCAACCCACTTGACACCATATAGAACAACAGTACCGTAAGTACCACCCTAGGAACCCATGTCTCCCAACACCTAATACATTGCTTGTTAACAGTCCAGCCACAGTGACAGTTTTTTTATCTCTCCGTTCCGACCCACAAAGCAGACTCCAAATTTCAAGAATCACTCTCACATAACCCCCATATCCACCGTTAACGAAAATACGTGTATAACTGATTTTGAAAAACTATCCGTCTTTCGAATCCCATATAAAATGTAAAAAACCCCCATAAGAGGCATATAAACATGAATATACCCATAGGAATATTCATTTTGATGATTTCTAACGAATACCATAATGTTAAAAAAAACCGTGTCAAATTTTGGTATTGCGTCTAACAGATAATTTCTAATTACAGGAGAGAAGCCATTCGACCGTGATAAATGCCGTCCTAATTACCAATAATGTCTACACACGCTACAGCGGGTTCCATAGAAGTTTCGAGAATTCTATGAGTACCCATGATCACCATGGTCCTTTCATGGTATATCCATGGTAAGCCGTCTCAATAAGGGACATATAATTCAGCAAACAATACCAGGTAATTGGTAACCGTTGCTCGTTGATAACCTTAATTTTCTTTTGCGGTGTTTTCAGGAAGTTAATATACAAGAATCATGGTACTGGTGGTGGACGAAGAAAGGAATGGGAAAAAAGAAAGTTCACTGAGTGCCAAGGAGAAAATGGACAAAAAATGATGAGCTTGAAGAAAATGGGATCCCGTGTCCAGGAGCATCGCGAGCCGCGTTTTCCAGATGTCGTTGAAAGGAGTGTCTGCTCACTGTCATCGTATTCTCAAACCAGTACTATGTAGGTATGTATACTATATATACACGTATAAGGGATGATAAATACACCCTCTCTTTTGCAGGACTACACTACCCTGCCATTACGTGGAGTGAGTCTCGTTTACCAGGTTCCCAGTTAAAAAGTCGCAAACAAGGAGCAGAAGGATATAAGGGTTCTCCTAGGCTAAGAACTTAGACTATTGAAAGTTTTTGGAACTCCTTGTAGATACGATTTCGAAATTGCGGGTTTTGCATGTCTATTGTACGGCACGGCGGTAAGGGGTTTGTAAAAAATTGTTATCAGGAGTTTGAATAGAATTTTGAAAATATTTGAGGCCATGAAACTTGGAATATTATCAAGCTCGGGTTTGTTGGGTTGTATATTACAATTATTGGCTTAATTACTGCTGTGTTAAAGTACTAATTTAAGGGGCACTGGGATAACGATTCGTAGAGTATCTGAGGCACGGTATATAATCAATAGTAATTGTATATAACGAACCGTAACGATGACAGCCATGACACTAAATCATATTTAATGTATATCCCGAACGTATCGGATCTTTCGGAATTAAAAGGATTTCCAAATGAGTACCTGCCTTTTTTTTATTGTCTTTCTCTTCCTCGCAGGGCAGAAGGAACAACAAAAAATTGGTATACTATAATCCTAGGGAGGAAGCGTGACGATTTAAGTGTGCCGCTCCTGTCTTCCTTGACTTAACGAGTCCTTCAGGATCACGGAGGAAGCGCCAACACGAGCTACAAACGAGAAGCATGCCGTGTGGATTATGAATTCCTTACGCAGTGCCTTCGACCCTGAGCCAACCCTCGGTTAAGCGTTGTTAGGTTAGGTTAGTAGTTTTCATGTATTTTTTTTTTGCAACCATTTTCGACCGCTGATTTATGACGGGAGGATGTGAGGTGCCTGGAGCCACCCTTGTGTTCCTATTCCGACATCCGGTTTTGTTTCTTCATCAGGCTTCTTCTTCTTCGGGCACGGTTGTCTTCTACGCAGTCTTTTGGCCTCGACAGCGTCAGTGTCTGGTTAGTCAGGATGGTTCGAATTGCAGGATTGGCGGATGAGACGCATTTTGGATATTTATGCGTTTCCTGTGGGATTTGAAAAAATTAATTTTTGAAATCAATTTTTCAGTGTAGCTGTACAGATTTCGTTTTTGAACAAGCGTAAAAGCTGGTCGTATTTTTCAGTTTTTAATTCGTGGAAAAGGATTTCTGGGTCATGACTGTCGGTATACAATGGTTGTAAATTTTCAAAGTGAAAGTGTCCAGCCAATTAGATACAAGGATGAAGAGAAAGGAACATAGAAAAATATTCGATGTCAGATAAGCAGAGTTTATAAATTTTCTTGGACACAGAATTAAGATTCTGATCGCAGGGAATATATATAAAATCTAAAAAGAAATACAGAATAGTCCAAATTGAGTTGTTTCATAAAAGTGCATGTGTTCCACATCGTGCGTTACGTCGACGTACTAAATAAAAAAAAAATTGTCGATAACATTGAAAAGCATCGATGGCAAAGTTTCCGGGTGGTCCAGCGACGTCGCCATTGTCAAAAACGAGGGAAGTAAAAAGTGATTCAAGTATTGTTAAGTGTACCAGCCTTTTGTGATTTTAGAGTAAATTTTTCAAAATTACTTTTCGCAGCAGCTGCCCGCAACCCTGAAGGATGCACAACCAGCCGCAAAACGGAGTCATAAATAATCCAGCGTCAAACAATAGCCAAGAAATCTCGTTCGTATCTCCAGTGTGGCATCATCCAGCGCACCCCAAATATTTACACTAGTCCGGTGGCAAACGGCAAAGTAATAGATTCAAGATGACTTTGCGCTTAAAGTCTGCAACAATGTCGGACCATTTGCCTTCACTGACACGGCTCCCGCCTCCTGCTGTTTGTGCCTTCGACCGCTGGACAATTCGTAACTTTCATAATGCGCGCCACCCTATATTCTTTTCTGGCCAACAATCGAACGATCTGGATCCATTTATCAGATAAAACGCTAATTGTAATGGGATCTTCATACAGGGCAGATGGTCACTATCAATGCACCACCCCTCGCCCAATGAACACTCACTCACTTGTCTATGGGTCATAAACAGTTAATAACCAAAGAAATAAATTCGTACAATTAAATTGTAGGGATATAAAAATATAGTATCGTAGACAGACAGATACTCGAAATCTTATCTGTGCCAGCCATTACTAAAATCATGTCAAAATTCTCTACAGGGTATTTCACATATGACCTGGACATCCATGAAATCGGAAACGAAGAGTGTGAAAATCAGTGACGTTTGAAAAATTCCAGTCTTCGCTGCTGTTAACGGCTGCCCTTTCACTGGACACACCGCAGGGGTGGTTTTACGCGCAGGGGCGTATTGTGCCTCTACAGGCACCCTGTACCAGGGTGTGAGAGGGTGTGACAATTTCCGGTCAGTCAAGAGCCACGCGTCCCACTGGATGTGAGAACGGCTGCGGAACCTTTCCTGAAGCATACAACAATATATGACCTATGGTAGTCCTGTCTAAACGCCCCTGCTGTAACCACCAACTGGCACGGTTGGTCATCCTGCTTTGGAACAACAGGGCTGCCGGACATTATCGATGACATCCTGAAACTTCCCAGCCGACTGGCGACTGTCATCTCGTTATTTATTGTTCAGTTATAGCTTTTGTTTTAACTCGGCTATTCGACAGCTTCGTTACTTCTTTACGTCTGCTTTGTTCATAATGTTTCAACGTTTTGCATAACTTGATTGTCTTCGATTAATTAACATTGGATGCTGTATGGATTTTGTACAAACAATTGTATAGAAATTGTCAACTCCGTTTTTCTTTTCTTCAATTTATAAGTCTTGGTTAACTCCTTTATTGGATACATTTGTAATTCATATATGTTAATGGGTGGATGACTTTTCAAAATTTTGTATATTATTTTTAATCAGTTATTAATATTATTCGTTGCTGTTTTTTAATGAGATGTAATTTAGCCTAGTGATTTTCGCTGCTGGGCAGATATTTAAAGGATCGTTGAAAAAAGTATATGCAGACTTGAGTCTGATTATATCCGTAGAGTCGTATTTATATTTTGATCAATTAATAAATTGCTCCTGGATAAATCGCCATTGGAATCGCAAAGAATAATTCTATTCGGGACGCAAATCGTTAGGATTTCTCAATGGCTTACAATGGCTATTCTTTGTTTCTGTTCGTACTGTATTCGTCATCGTATTTTTCGTTTAGACTAGAGATAGTTTTTTAAAGTAATTACAGATGCATTTTCAAAATCCTACCTGCACCCGTTAACAGACATATATATATTGTATACATATATACCTGTGTATTTCCTCCGTTGAAATAATACTTGTCTTTGAAAAGCCAATAATCCATAAAATCCTCAAGATAATATTTTAACAGTATAAAGATTCATCCACAGTGAATTATTTATCGTATAGCCACATAGAAACGACGATTGTATATTTTTCGTATTTTCGCATGAAAGATCTATATATTCACGTATCCTGTATAAACAATAATTTCGGCGTATCCCCAAACTCGTGCCGATGTCTGCAAAAATCGTTACTATCGGATCAAAAAAAGCGAATTAATTAATTCGATTACCGAATAGTAATATATTTTAATATAACGCACATATGTATTTATATACTCTATACAATCTCTATATATAGGTATTACCTAATTCAAAACATAGGTACGTTATAGCTCTATTATTAGTTACAGGATAAAATCCAATATTACTTTACCGCAGGCTGCTCCTAGGCCTCTCCCGTATTGGCAACTGGTTCAACGAGTAAATGACTAATTACACGACAATGCCAGGGGTCATTGATATTATCATTACCGACTATAGCAGTCAGTTCGCTCGTGCATAATGGCCAGCCAGTAGGCAGAGCAAGCAGAGTAGGTAATGATTGCGTTTTCCAACAGCAGATGGAAAAATGATTTGGTTGTGGATCCAAACGATATTCTCTGATTAATTGTAATTCTCGGTCTTTGAGCCGATTAATTACTTCGAACAGGGTATATCGACGAATCGGTACGCATTACGGATTTATGAAAGATAATAACTGGGTGGGTAGACAAAACCACATTATTTATACCCATTAAAGCATTGGTTACTTCTGTATTTTAATTTCAAAAATATTTGATAATTGACACGTTCAACGTGGGATATAGGTGGATAGAGAAAATGTTTTTGAGAATATCTCGCATCCACGAGTGCCCTGGAGTAGTCTTTAAATTTTTTGACCTAAAATGGAAATAGAATTTGTCGCGAAAAAAAATCGTGATTTTTTGTCACATACGTGGATTATAGGCGTTATCGATTTTTTAATTTTTTTTTCTACTCGGGATTTTTTTACCTGTTTTCTAGAGCAGCTTGATGAAAAATGGTTTAATTGGTATCAATGCACCGAGCCTTGTATATTGGTACTGCTGAAGTACGTGCTCAGTCACTCGTTACTAATTGATCGTTTGAAAACAATTACATGTACATGTAATACAAAAATTGTTACTCACGTTGATTAAAAATTTTCCAGACTCTAGGATTGTTGGAGACTTCATCGTTGATGCAGATCAAAGTACTGCGGACGAACGCATAGACGGAATCATTTTTATGCACTGGAATAATGATACTTCAAAAGTGAAAACTAGTCATGTGAGTTGATTTAAATTATTTTGAAAAAAAAAATTTATGAAAATTTCACAAGGCGATCCATCGAGGATTTTTTTACATATCCACCGGGATCTGCAATCCACTGTTCTAAATCATCCCCAATTTCAATCAAACTGTATAAAAATATTCAAAAGAAATTGAATGCCGATCGCGATCGATCCCATGACCATCTCGTCGTGGTCAGACTATACGGCAGAAGGTTAGTGGTGCCATAGTACACGGTTCTGTGCACGATGTTCTACCGAAGCAAGAGGCCAGTGGGTGGTCCAACTCTTTCACAAGGAAAGCGAGAGCTGTGTCCCCAGCGGCAAACGTGGCGACCATGATGCTCTATTAATTCTCACCTGATTTACCATTACTCATTCGGTAGGCTTATGCCAAGAACGAGAGAGAGAGAGAGAGAGAGAGAGAGCAGAAGTGTATTACGAAAAGGAAAAATAGAGAAATTTAAAATTCGGTAGGCTTATGCCAAGAACGAAAGCGAGAGCTGTGTCCCCAGCGGCAAACGTGGCGACCATGATGCTCTATTAATTCTCACCTGATTTACCATTACTCATTCGGTAGGCTTATGCCAAGAACGAGAGAGAGAGAGAGAGAGAGAGAGAGCAGAAGTGTATTACGAAAAGGAAAAATAGAGAAATTTAAAAACAAAATCATTTATATTCCCAACTTTGGTCACCGGCTGATCTAATCTTATTTGGGAGTATCCAATGACAAAAAGGTAAAAAGAAAAATCGAAAAGTAATTTCCAAATTTTAAACTCACTATCATTTGGGTCCTCGATCGTTAAAAAATTTTGAACGTTCAACCAATTGTTAACTCTAAATGAAAATTTATTTCTCGTCATTCCTCCGGAACCCTTTTGGCCGGCTGATCGTTCCATAACGATAAAGTCTCACCCTCGGGATATGTTTTGTCGTAGTTCCAGGGTAACCTCAATGAGCTGTTACACCGTAGCAATCAATTTAATCCCCTTTAATCGAAGACACGCTCCCAATGGACTCGGATATCATTTCCCATTAGGTTCTTTTTATTTTCCTCGTGACTGGCCCACTGTCTAACGCCTTTTATGTTAACGCATTTAATTCCCTTTTATCTTTGATACCCACTCATGCCACCTTGGGTAACGTTCACGTAACGGTACGTAACGCACGACTCGAATTAGTCGAAAATTTTCCGTAACTTATTCACGCTTCGATTTCCGTGGAATTGTCATTTTTACGCGAATTACGTAATTTTTCATTATCCCGATAAATGCTTCACCTGCCGATACGGTTATCATTCTATCCCACATCGGACACATTGTCTGACTTGTTATTGGCGCTAAATCATAAAACACGTGCAACGATAAACCGTTTTTTTGAAATTTGATAATATTTTTATACCCAACTATTTTTACACTTGATATATCCAATTCTGTGTATTATCTCGATATACATATTTTAATATTGACATTTAATACATACGCAGAAGCTGCTCACTCGATGATCGACGTACTATGATTTTATTTTTGAAAATATTTAACACAATTTACCTGTATTTTGCGGTAATCAACGCACGACCTGGTAAATACGCTTCAATGGCAATTCGGTTGCGTAACATATACATTACGAGTATATTCAATGTTCATATGCATATATATATATATATACACACTTTGAAGTGTACGGCAAATATAATTTGTCATTGGCCATTGATTTTTTTTTATTTTCAAATTTATTTCTTCGGGCTCGTCTATTGAAATAAACGTTCTTTATCCAGTTGAATTTTTTAAGTGCGAGAAAAATTTTTTTTTTCCAGTAGCGAGAAAGCGGAAAGCTCGTAGAGTTATACCGTGAATAATGGCTTCATCCCATAAAGTTAATTGGAGGAACTAAGCATCGGCCGACAATTGAATTAACTATGCGATAAGTTCATTAACTCCCGATCGTAATACGCGCTCGCTCTCATTCTGTAATTCCTTTCACATTGCGCCAACGTTTCAGCTCCACTTCCAATGAATTTCTGACCTCGGGTTATCGTTCAAGGATCATTCAATTACTCGATGCATCCGGCTCTTTGATAACGTGTATTATATAGATATATACATATATATAGATAGATATAACGTACGTACACGTACAGTACAATAGAGAATATGAGAATTGAAATGGGAAATTGATATTAAATACCACTAAATTAAGAGGGATTAAAAAATTTATTTCATAGTGAAATCGATGATTGACGTTTTAATGCTTCGATTAAATTTGACGCGGAATCACTTACGTCTCGTTAGAGAAGCACTTTGTCTTTGCGACGTATAATTTGATCAATGTCAAAATTATTTTAATCCGCGCAAAGATTGATTAAATATATTACTAGATAGGTAGTATCTGGCGCTTAACTAGCTTTACGAGTCTTATACAATATATCAAGTATAAGTTTGATATATCGATATATTAACAAGGTAACTCGAATGGCAACTGTTGAAAGTAGTGGGGATAATTAATAGCCATATATAGCGAATCGACATAGCCGGTTTATATTGGATACTTAAATTAATGTGGATATATATATATATATAAATTAATTTGTTGCCAATTAATTAGATTGCATAGCTGAATTAATTTTAATCTAACGTTGATTCAATTTGACGAAATTTTTTTTCTTTTTTTTTTGAAAAATTTTTCAATCGAACCCATTTGATCCAAGCATCAACTAGACTGATAAATATTTCAATCGGCAGCTGGTCATCTCCCGGAGGCTGGACCGAGATAAAGTTTTTATCGAACTTTGGAATTTTTTTTTTCTGTAGTTGCGAAATACATCATCCCCAAGTCTGGGTACACAGCCGTTACGTAGGTAAGGACTCAGAGGGATGTAAAGCTGGTGATTACCCTGGAGCCCTCTGCAAACAGCTGGAGTAATTAAAAGAGCGGACAACTACTCGAGATCTTCCAGGGAGAGTTGAATGCTGAATCGTCGAGTTCCTGCCGCGACGGACGATGCATACGAAATACTCACCGTCCCTGACTTTTACCTCTTCTTCTTCTTCTTTTTTCCTCGCTTCGTTTCTCCTCGTCTTCTTTTTCTCTCGTTCTTTCACTCCCCTCCCGCTCTCTTTCTCTCTGACCTCTTGAGCCCTCTTCAAAGCTCATAAGCATTTTCGGTTCCCCTACAACTCGTACCCCCCACCCCTTCAACCCCTCCTGACTAAAGTCACGTCCACGCGCAGGCATTCAGACTACTCAGAAAATGGATACCTATTTCGAGAAACAAATAATTCTCGTAAAGAGGTTCTCATGCGGACAGATAT